ATACCCTGAGCAGGAACTTTTCTCAGGACCATGAGTAGGAGCTGGATACATGTGTTCCTAAACATTTTTCAGACTTGGGAGTTCCCAACAACAGATCTTTTTGCAACCACACAAAACACTAAATGGCTGCAATTTTGCTCCAGAGCAGGACTCAGTCCATACTCTCTCAGTGATGCCTTCCTCACCAAATGGAATGCTCCCCTCCTATACGCCTTCCCTCCCACCCCTCTCCTAGTCCGAGTGCTTCACAAAATCAGACAGGACAGAATCAGAGTGATCCTAATAGCCCCCATATGGTCTCGACAAATGTGGTATCCTTACCTTCTACAGATGGCGGCGTGTCCAACACGCACACTCCTGCTTCTGTCTCGGCTTCTGTCTGAGGACACAGGACGCGTCCTCCATCTGGATCCTCAAAAACTCCAACTCAAAGCATGGTTACTTCATGGCTCTCGGGATCTGAAATGACATGCTCCACAAACATACATATCATTTTTTTAAACAGTCGAGATGTGTGTCCCCCTGTGGGTGCTCCACTACCCTTCCTCCTCCCTTCTACTTCGGAGTTTCCCACTAATGGTCTGCAGTAGAGAAGGAACAGAGTGGGGGGTTGGTCGCACAGTGCCAGATAACCACCTGAAGTGGTGCGAGATGGGGGTCGCACATGTGCAACCCAACCGGGAACTGCTGCCATAAATCTCCAATTATGAGTGCAGGGGCGCACAAACACCTAAAGTGGAGCACCCACAGGGTAACATCTCGAAGAACCTATGTTACTCCATAAGGTAACTTTCTCATCTCATCTCTATCCTGCACAAGTGGGTGTAGAATGGCTTTTCTACTATCAGAGACTACAAATATACTATAGGAGATAACAAAATGGGCAGAAAAAAATCTCCCTCCCCAGGTGATACATATAAAAGGGAAGTTGAATCAGAAAGCAGATTGGCTCAGCCATTGCACAGTCAGCAGAATAGTGCCTGAACCAGGAAGTCTTCTCTCTGATCTTAAAGATGCTTGGTTTCCTCTTGGTTGATCTGTTTGCAAGTTACAAAAAGACCAGCAGCTGAAATACTTTACCAGGGAATCAGATCCCAAGTTCCTGGGAACAGAGCCCTGTCACACAGGTGGCCAGAAAGCTTGTGATATGCATTCCTGCCCTTCCCTCGCATAAGAAAAATAATTCAAAAGATAAAGCAGAAGCAAGTAAAGGAGATAGTGATAATTCTGTATTCGTCAAAGAAGCCCTGGTTCTCTGACCTGCTAGAGCTGAAACTGCAACCATCATTACAGCTGCCACCCAGACTGGACATCCTTGCCCAAGGCCCTTTCCTCCACCCAGACCCAGACCATCTTCAACTGAGAGCCTGGTTATTGAAAGGGAAACGTTAATAGCACTAGGCCTATCTTCCAAAGTGATCAGGAGTTTGCATGAGTCCAGGAGAGTCTCCATGATAAAAGCTTATTCCTCCATCTGGACCAAGTTCAGCATTTGATGCCAGAAGAGCAATGCTAATCCAAGAGATCTGGAATTCCAGCTATCCTGGACTCTTTCAAATAAGGTATGGATAAAGGTCTTCAGTCCAGCACCATAGCACGCCAGGTATCTGCCACTGGTAGCATTCTATTCAGAGGATCCTCAGGTTCTTTGGCACGTAATCCCAAAGTAGTCAGATTTGTCAGAGCAGTCAAACCAGTCTTCCCTAAATGGGTCCCACCACTGGTGTTGAAGGCCCTAGCCACTCACCCTTTCAAGCCCCTGACTTGTATATCAGCATTTTGTCTCTCCATCAAAATCTGTTTTCTGGCTGCCATCATGTCTCCTGGGCAAGTTTCAGATCTGGCAGTCCTATTTATGCAAGGACCCTACTGAGTGTTCCATGAAGACAAGAGGGTACCGAGAACTGCAGTTGTTTCTCCCCAGCGTGAAATCTGCTTTCCGTAGCTTGCAGGAGACTATCCTTCGTTCCTTCTGCTCAAAGCCACAGCACCCACCCAAGAAGCTGGGGCACAATTTAGATGTCAGAAAAGCACTGAAAATCTACATCAAGTGCACAGAATCCACAAGATCAGGCCCTGTTTGCCTTCTTTCACCCGAAATGTCAAAGGCTCAGAATCTCCAGGCTGTCTCTGGTTAGATGGATCAGACTGTGCATTGTTGAAGCTTACAAAAAGTGTCAGGCACTTCTCTTTCAGAAGCTATCCAGGCACACTCCACGAGATCCATGGCAACCTTGTGGGCCGAATGAGCATGTGCCTCTATCACAGATATATGCAGCGCAGCCACATGGTCATTGGTTAATAGCATTGTCAAACATGACAGAGTGGACTTTCTGTCCTCTGCAAAAGCCTCCCTTGGCAGAAAGGTGCTCCACGCAGTGGTCCTGTAATGCCTTTTGGTCAATCCTCAAGCGGGAGGAGGTCTATTTAACTATTTTTCTATTTATCTTTTCTTGTCTCTCCCCACTCCTGTACACTGCTCACTACTTCTCACGTGTAACAAAATTGCGGGAGACACTGGGCTGCAGAATGAAAAATTTCTTACAATAATTTCCTTTCTGCTAGCAGCACCTCCCACAATTCTACCCACCTTGGTGGCTTTCTGCTAAGGATCAGCCTTTTATTTGCATATTTACCATGAAGGGAGTTGGCCTGCTGTACAGTTAATGCATTTGTCATTGATGTTATGCTTATAAATATTTTTCTCTAAGTTTTCCACACAGCTTTGTAATGACTCACCTGGCAGCAAGTGGGGAAAGGGGGCATGGCCAGCATGAGATGCACTGCAGCTTTGAATCACCACTGAAAGCTGCGGAGAGGAGAAGAGCAGCCCTGTGCATAGCAGAATTGTGGGAGATGCTTCTAGCAGAAAGGAAATTATCGATTAATTTTTTTTCCATTTGATGCAACAATTCTATGAATTGTAATGGCTCAGTGGTAAGAGGAAGACTGGACAGATGCAGTAAGTTCTTACTGGCAGGTCACTTGGCCCAGCTGTTACTGTGTTTAAAGAGTCATGACAGCATACTAGCTTGGGCACCAGTGATAGCTCCTTGGCTCCACTGTGCATTGAGTTAGTGCTATAGCAGGAGCACAGGGGGAGCCCTCAAAGCACACAGACATCAGAACTCACACTGGTTCTGGGCCCATCCTATTTACATAAGTAGAGTTCTCTAACAGCCCTCTAAACAAATGAATCATTTGCAAATTGAGAGTCACATTCACCAGTATGCCTTTTGGATGCTTCCCAGAGTCATGCAAATGTAAAGTAGCTGTAACCCCTGTTTAACTGCATGGTTTTGGTGTACCAATAAATCTGCCCTTAAGTGAATAAAGAAATTCTTTAAGGTTGATAGTGCATATCATATCATATATTGCATGGTAGCATTCTCTGTGTGTTTCTTGTTTAGTGTTTGTATGAAACTAATAGTTTTAAAAAAGACTAATGAAATTCCCAGACAAAAAGCTATGTTACAACAGAGTTAAGAGTATACATCAGTTACCTGAGGACAAAACGTTTTATCCTGTAGTGATGACACAGTGGGGAAGAACTATGAAAAAAAATCATGTCTTTAAAAATCAGTTAAATCTAACCATGAACCCTAAACACTAAAATGTCTGAATCATAATTATATAGTTTTTGCATGACATCAGTACAGGGCAGAGTTAAGGTTGTTTTGGTGTCTTAACTGTGCACTCCTTAACATGTTTTGACTTTTTAAATGTAACTCAAATTCCCAGAATTGTAATGCTTGGTTTTGGGATAATTACAACATTCCTGTAATTTTTATTTTTACCCTTACGTTACTAAGATATACTCTCAGCCTTAACTATTTTTTGGAGGGGAGGAGCAGGGGAACACAGATTTAAATAAAAGTTCTCTCTCTTGGATTTTAACCTTAAAAATGTGATGTGGACTCCTCATCTCAAAAAAGATATACTGGCATTAGAAAAGGTTCAGAGAAGGGCAACTAAAATGATTAGGGGTTTGGAATAGGTCCCATATGAGGAGAGATTAAAGAGGCTAGGACTTTTCAGCTTGGAAAAGAGGAGACTAAGGGGGGATATGATAGAGGTATATGAAATCATGAGTGGAGTAGAGAAAGTGACTAAGGAAAAGTTATTTACTTGTTCCCATCATATAAAAACTAGGGGCCACCAAATGAAATTAATGGGCAGCAGGTTTAAAACAAATAAAAGGAAGTTTTTCACACAGCGCACAGTCAATCTGTGGAACTCCTTGCCTGAGGAGGTTGTGAAGGCTAGGACTATAACAGGGTTTAAAAGAGAACTAGATAAATTCATGGAGGTTAAGTCCATTAATGCCTATTAGCCAGGATGGGTAAGGAATGGTATCCCTAGCCTCTGTTTGTCAGAGGGTGGAGTTGGATGGCAGGAGAGAGATCACTTGATAATTGCCTGTTAGGTTCACTCCCTCTGGCAGACAGGATGCTGGGCTGGATGGACCCTTGGTCTGACCCAATATGGCCATTCTTATGTTCTTGAAATTTAATATTACTAAAAGATTAGTCACTAAACACTAAGTTTAGTCTTCTTGTAAGTGCATGTAAGAGTGCCTAGAATTACATTGCAATTTTCCTTCCTGCATATCCTCTTCACCCCATTTACCTAGTTTTCTGAATAATCACTCTTGAAGTAGTAATTGGCATTTGTCCTTGCCTAAACTGCCTTCAAAATGTAAGAATTAGGGACACGTGGCTCGTGACATCTTAAGGGCACGTTTTCTTTCTCCAAATTGCTAACATACCAAAAATTCTAGAGTTCCTCACAAAGAACATATTCTGAATCTATTATTTTAATTCTGCTGCAAAACAATGATCAATTTGCTGGAGGGCTGCGGGCATCTTCTAGGCAAGTAGTAGTGGAGGTATAGGGCTAATACCCTCAGTTGTTCTTACATATCAGGTTTGCAATATACCCTTGTAATTAAGTCGCTGAAAAGAAAGTCACTTTTCTAATCCACTTATGTTTACTAACAGGTCTGCATTACATTTAGTGATTTTGGAAAAATGCAGAACGTTTGCAACTTACTCGTTGAGAAACTGGGTAGTTCTGTTATCATCAGTCCACCTCACTTCTACCATACAGCAGAGTCTGTAGACACCCTTCGGTAAGTTCCCCCCTCTCCTCTCCACAGAAATGCACAGCCTCAGGAAGCATTTATGTAATACATAATCCACACTGTTTAAAATGGGAAACAATAATAGTCTCCCTGTTGCCACTCCTGCCTTATACTTAAAGGAAAATTCAAGAAACTTAAAAAAGGTTACACAATTTTTATAAATCCAATTCCATTTAGCTCGCAAATGGTAAAGCTTAATCTTTCATGGAGGCTGCAGTGTCTTTGTATAAAGGCAGGAGGTAACAAGCTTTTCCATGATTTCAATAGGAAAAACAATCTGCTTTTAACATGCTCAGTCAGCATATCTGGTTTTTCAATGGAGTTAAATCAAAACAAATTAATTTTAGTTTGGGATTTGTATGGGAAGGTACAAGCATTTAACAGGCTCCATCCACTTCCCCAAGTGCTGCAGCTGTCCTTCCTTCTCTTAGCTGCTGACAACAAACTTTGAAATATACCTTTCTAAAGAAACTCCATTTCATTTACTTTGAGGAGAAAGAAAAACTTTCTAACATCAAAACATCCTCCTACAGCACCCCAGCCATAAAGGGAGAGTTAATTTGCCATGAAGGACATGAGTCAAGCACTCAGTGGTTGATGAAGGAAGGCGCCTGGGGAGATTAACTACATTTATCTGTTCCTCTTCCCCTAGTTTTTCAATTCACAATGAGATGAACTAAAAGAGCATTCAAAAGCCTGCTTTTCCCATTGATACCACCAAAAAACCCTTCTCCATCTCATCTGAAGTTCACACTCTTCAGATGGGCCTGGCTACATCCAAGAAACAAGTTCAGTCATCCACTGCTTAAAAAAATGTTGAAATTGCCACAGAGGTGTGGTTGTGAGTAATATGTATTCTAAATATCTAGCTATGAGTTTGTTAGCACATTGGAGTTTTCCCTTACAAGCTTCCTCCTCCACATGCTCCCCATGTTTAACTATCAAGCATATGAGTGGGGAAGTAGATGTGCCTTGCATCTATGTAGTCACAAAAAATAATGATTTGGCAGGAGTTTCTGTGCTATGGTTGGATCAGCTAAGCTCCCTTGCTTTTTACCTCCCAGGCGTCAAGTGTGTCTTGCTGCTGTTGGGAACACACGTCGAAAAGCTCAAGAGGTCTGTCGACTGTTCGGCCAGTCACTGGGAAAACCGCTGCTTATCAGAGAAGAGGAAATGAAAGAATGGGAAGGACAAATAGACAGTCACCCATCCAACTCCTCAGACACACTGACTGTGCAGCAGAGAATCCAAAGTGCTACTATTTATGCTTCTTCAAAAATATTTGCTATTTTTGAGATAAAGGGAAGAGAAAAGAGAAAAAACAAGCGTATCTAGAAGCATGTTAAAGCATTTTTCTTATTTGTCTCTGACAAATCTTGGAATAAATTTATGTACTTTAAAGTACAAATTTATTCAGTTTTTTCAGACCTGTATCTTCCTCTGTAAATGATCAGGAAAAACTAGTTATAATATTAGTTGTCCGCCCCCCTCCCTTTCCAAAAAATAAGACCAGATTGTTCTCAGAACTACCTGGAAAGAGAGAAATAGTTTTATCATGGTTTTTCAAACAAATTGAAGGTGGACACCCCAAGCTACACTGAAATCATTTCAGAGTGGAAGCCGTGTTAGTCTCTATCAGCAAAAAGAACGAGGAGTACTTGTGGCACCTTAGAGACTAACAAATGTATTTGAGCATAAACTTTCATGGGCTAAAACCCACTTCATCGGATGCATGCAGTGGAAAATACAGTAGGAAGATATATATATATCTATATATATATCTATATATATAGATATATATATATATATAGACACACAGAGGACATGAAAAAAATAGGTGTTGACATACTAACTATAACGAGAGTAATCAGTTAAGGTGAGCTATTATCAGCAGGAGAAAAAAAACTTTTGTAGCAATAATCAGGATGGCCCATTTCCAACAGTTGACAAGAAGGTGTGAGTAACAGTATGGGGGAAAAATTAGCTTGGGGAAATAGGTTTTACTTTGTGTAATGACCCATCCACTCGCAGTCTTTATTCAAGCCTAATTTAATGGTGTCCAGTTTGCAAATTAATTCCAATTCTGCAGTTTCTCGTTGGAGTCTGTTTTCGAAGTTTTTTTGTTGGAGTATTGCAACTTTGAGGTCTGTAATCGAGTGACCAGGGAAGTTGAAGGAGGGCTCCAAGGCTTTATACAGACTTCATGCCATCACTAGTATTCCTCCCTTTTCTCCCACCCTTATTTATAGTGGGTAGAGTTGGGCAGGACACCAGTAGGAAGCTCATGTGTATAGCTTTTTGGTATGCTAAAGTAAAAAGGCCTCCAGCACATTTATTTTATCTCTTACACCTGGAAAAAGACTGATTAAATATCAGGTTTCTTAGATATTAATGTGTGTCCTAAGAGTTGGTCTAAACATACTAAACAAAGCAAAGATAAGTAGCTCAGTGTACACTCCTTCAAAAAAGTACCGGTAGATATTCACATTACAGATTTACTTACTGCAAATATCTGCAAGAACTTGTTAACTTTTAGTCCCAGTTGGCCTCCATCTAGATCAATGCCCTTCAACTAGAGTGAATATATTACTTTTGAAGAAACAGTGCATGCTAGATTATTTAGCTTGCACAAAAAGCTAAAATATTTGATGTGCAGAACGTTTGGTGCTGCTAGTTGCAATGCAGCTATATTTAAAGCTTTCATCCCAAGCTAGTGAGAACTAAATTATTCATTGTCCTCAATTCACAATATTCTGATTATATATATATATATATAGACAGAGAGAATGTTTTACTTGAGTAACCTCAACATAATGCATCACTCAATATGTAATGCATTCAGTTCTAATGGAACTGAAATAAGCCATTAACATATGCATCAAAATAAGCCATTAACATATGTTTGATACAGAAGTTCAATTTTATTTCTTTAATGAAATAATTTACAAATCAGTTTTACCCTGGTTTCCATTTGTCCCAGTTTAAAAAAGAAATGTACTGTGCAGTTGTACATCACATGCACAATTTACATATAATGTTAAATACTTCAGTCATGAGGGTAGATTTTTCTCAACCATGGTTGCATAATGTATTTAGATCCATCATATCTACTGAAGTAAGTTGTCAGATCAGGATTGTGTATCTGCAGAAAGAATTTTACAAATTGGTTGGTAACAACAACATTACTGAAAAAGGCTTGGTGGTTTAATTGTACTGTAGCTATTAAGATTAGTTTTTAAAAAAACTCTTGAATAGCTCTTAGTTATTGTTTCTGTGGCACAAACTCAGTGAAGTTAAAACTTAGAAAAGCATGTACAAGTACACTGTATATATTTTAGTTTTTCAAGAGGTCAGAGCACTTTTACAAATAAGCCTCACTTCCGTCAGGTAGTTAGAGATAAGGAGACTAAGTGATTTGTCCAAATTGGACTGTCAGTGGAATCCAGAAACAAAGTCCATCTTTTGCAACAGCCTGTTCACAACAGACACCAAATTGGTATTTTAGAAAATCCCAAGGTCAAACAACTGGACCCTAGGAAGGTGAAAGTAGGCAGCACCTAAATAAGATTATTAGCATTCTATACCCATTGAAGATATGTATACAAAAAGTATAGCAATATCATTCCATTTTCACCTGTACAATTTATGTAACATTTGCATATCTGCTTTTCCTATGACCTTTCTCTACCATTGCAGAATGTTGACCTATTTATTCTATATTGAATAGGTCAAAGACCTTTTTGATTACAAAAGGGTAATAAGTTAAAATTACAAAGGACTTCACGCTTACAAAGAAAGATACTACCTCTAATCCCATAATAATTGTTATCTCCTCCTCAGGAATATAAGCTGTAGACTTGCCAAAGCTGTTGGCTTGGTTAATAAGAATTTGGTAGTGAGGAGTATCTCTTAGACCCTGTAAAAGAACAAATAAAAATAAGCCACAAGAAAGTATTCACATGAACATGTTATACTTCAGGAATAATTCCCTTAGACACAAAGTCCTATCCCCCTAATATCTTAAATCAAAATTGAAGAAAAAATAAAAAGAGTCTTGTAACAAGTTAGCATTCTGGAAATACTTGACCTTTTACACAGGCAGACTGCTTTTATTTTGTGGCAAGTTTCATCACCATTAACTTCTGTTTTACATTTAATATAGTTATACATTTCTTATTAAAACCATATCATAAAAACCTCCTTGGCATATCTGAAGCACTTCTGAAAAGTTAAGATCACAAAGGACAAGATCCTCAGACTGTGCTGCCTCAAGTGGAGAAAAGGGGACTTAGAACTGCTAGGGAAAGAGAAATTTCTTACCTGACAATTTTCTGTTACCAGCTTCTCTCCAAATTTATTACTAATGGGCTACTGCCCCCCACCTATGCAATTCGGAGACAGTCCAGTGCTGTTGCTGGAAGCTTCAGGACTAATCGCCACCCTTCAGCTCGGGCCACCAAAAGAGTTCTTCTACAGTTGTAGCAACCCATTATTAGCATTAAGACAACTTGAGATAATGTATTAAATTAACCTTAAGACAAGTCTCACTTTAGAGAAAATTTTCAATTTATATTCTGGTCATTTCATAGAATTACAGAATATCAGGGTTGGAAGGGACATCAGGAGGTCATCCAGTCCAACCCCCGGCTCAAAGCAGGACCAATCCCCAACTAAATCATCCCAGCCAGGGCTTTGTCAAGCCTTACCTTAAAAACCTCTATGGAAGGAGATTCCACCACCTCCCTAGGTAACCCATTCCAGTGCTTCACCACCCTCCCTAGTGAAAAAGTTTTTCCTAATATCCAACCTAAACCTCTCCCACTGCAACTTGAGACCATTACTCCTTGTTCTGTCATCTGGTACCACTGAGAACAGTCTAGATCCATCCTCTTTGGAACCCCCCTTCACTCTTCTCTTCTGCAGACTAAACAATCCCAGTTCCCTCAGCCTCTCCTCATAAGTCATGTGGCCCAGACTGTTAGGGTGGGTTAAATTTGGAGAGAAGCTGCTAACAGAAAAATTATCTGGTAAGAAATTTCTCATTCTGTTGCACAACTTTTCTCCTCATTTATTACTAATGAGACGTAGAGAACAGTGAATCACAGAAGTTGGGGGAGGAGGGAAAGGATAACCAGTTAATAATAATAGAACAACAGGCAGGAATGAAAATCTCTATCCCTCCCCCCATATATAGTTTTATAAACTAAGAAGTTATGCGGGAACCAGCCCAGTAGCACATAGCCATGTTTCTACAGTGCTTGGTTGCAAGGTTCCAACTAAATGTCCTGGAGAAACTTTTGTCTAGCTGAGACCACCAGCACTTTGTGATTGTTATATTTGTATTACAATAGCATATAGAGGTCCTGGCCCCATTGTGCTGGGCATTGTACAGAGACAGTCCTTGCCCCAAAAGAGCTTTCTCAGAGATATGCTCTAGGAATTATTTTGGGGAAGTTCTGTGGTCTGTGTTATACCGGAGATCAGATACGAGATGATCACTGTAGTCCCTTCTGGCCTTGGAACCTGTGAATCTATGTTTCCCCTTGCACCAGAAACATAAATTTGACCAGATCAATTAATGAAATATCCTGGTTGAGTTCTAAATGGCTACCTAACTATAGCAGAGGTTAATGGAGAATCCATGATGAACACTTCTATTTTGGTGCCCAGGCTGTTAACTGTAGGTGTTCCTGGTCTAAGTCCCTGCTTCAAGCGATATGGTGTTTTCTGCAGACACAATGTGGGATTCTTAGATATCTAGCAAGTCCAAAATGCCATCTGGGCTAGTGGAGGACTAGGAAGAAGACTTCAACTCCTCCTTTTCCTTTCTATATCCTTTATATGAACCATCTTAAAGGTAGCAGATTATTTTCTGTCCATTGCCACAGAGAAACTTTGACCCCTGGTTACTCCCTGGTTTTGGACAGGACATAAACTCTTGCCTCAGTCATAAGCCAACCTCTAATGGCAGGTAAAAGGAGACTTCCTCTGTGAGTCCTGTAATTGAGGGGTTTCTACTGATACAGTTGATACTGGCCACTGTCAGACAGGATACTGGATTTGATGGAGCACTGGTTCAATCCTATATAGCCATGTTTGTGGGGTGCTTTTTTGTTTTTTTTTAAAAAACCACACATCCTGATAGAGATGTCAAAACCAACTAAAGGAGATTTTGGAAGTTTGTCTTCCAAATATGAAAACGTCAAGTGAAAATTGGTTTTTCAGCATGTTTGTACTTACCAACCCACAAAGGGACATTCGGGTGTGATCTGAGAATGACACCTAATTTTGCACTGTGCAAAGTGCCTGGATCTTTGTCCTCAGAAGGAAATTTCTGCAGGTTCATTTTGAGAAACCCACTCAGAATTAAGTTGATGCATGGCACCAACAATCCTAGTCATTAGAAATAATTGACTACTGATGACTCCTCAGGAAATGATTGATGCAATGAAGTTTTGGGTCTTCTCAAATCTTTACCATTGTGGCAAAATGACGGCCAAATCCATGTCTGTTTTGACTGCGGAGTGAGTAATTCTCTGCATTGGGAACAAAAGTCTTTTCTTTATTTTGAAGAACTGGTAGCTATGAATCCTTTCCAGCAGCAGTCCAGTTATGAATGGGTCTATTTCTCTGGACAGGGTACTGACTGATTGG